CGTCCACTCGTCCATCGTCCACCGTCCACTCGTCCACCGTCCACTCGTCCATCGTCCACCTGTCCATCCACCCACCCACCTGTCCACCCACCTACCCAGTGCTTACAGGGTGCCTACTAACTGGCTCTGTCCTGGCAGTGAACACAACAGACACACATTCCCATCCTCCTGCAGCTACGAAGGAGGGGCGGGCACGTGGTCGGCGGCCACATGTACCAAGACAAGAGCAGAGGGAAAGGGCAGGGCCGCCAGCGAGGGCCTCACCGAGGAGGTGACGGTTCTGAGAGGTGTGTGGCGAGTCCGAAGACTAACAGGAAGAGTGGAGAATGGCACCACAGAGAAAGACGGGCTCGCTGGGGAGGGAGCGTCTGCAGCTTCCACGGTGTAACACACCGCAGCTGGTTCGGCTGCCCGTCTGAAAACTGGCTCGAACGAGCCCGGAGCCATCGGCCTCTGCAGGTGGTGTGCCACCAGAGCGCGCTCTCACCCCGCTGGGGCTGGGGCTTCACCCTCTGACTGAGGGCACGTACAAACATGGCACTGCCCTCCAGCTGGCAGGGCCCAGTCACGGCCCCCAGAAGGGGGAGAGAACAATCCCCTTAGACCAGCATGACAGGGCACTGCCGTCAGACGACGGGGTCAGGGACACTACTCTCAGGCTGGGGCGTACCGGGAAAAACCTGGGGTCCTGAGCTCTCTGGCAGTAACAGCAGGGCCGCGGCAACTCGCCCATGAAGAACCCCCTCCCAAGACACCACCCCAAATATCCATCCTTCCCTGACCCCACCCCCCCCCAGGGCCCTCCAGCCCAAGATCCACTGCACATCCCAGGAGGAAGTGTCTACCTCCCGGGCCGACTGCCAAGCACATGAGGCCAGACAGGCAACATGTGGTTCCACTTGGCAATCAGGCCACAGGGATGGGGGTTGCTAGGGGTGAGGGGAGTGGGTGGCCAGTCCGGAGGATGCTGCCAAGAAAGGGCCCAGGAGGTGGGACCCAGCAGTGCCCCCGGGCAGACAGGACTGCCCATGCCTGGTATGCCCCTCGCTCCCTGGACCTCAGTGTCCCAGGTCAGGGCTGTAAACCTACAGCTCGGCCCAGGACGCCCCCTCACGTGTCTCCAGGCCTGATTGTCCCCCCGGGATCCCCTACTACTTGCTCTTCCCACCAGCAACAGGTACCCGGTTCCCTGGGGCTCAGTGGGGCCTTCTGACCCCGCAGAAGCTGCACCCCCTCCCACCGGGCACGTGCGCCACCACCCTCCCACGGCACATGGCAGCGGGGAACATGGCACAGTACTGCTCCAGTGTCTGAACCCATGGCCGGCAGAGGCCTGTGCACGAGGTCCTCCCAAGGGTGAGCCTGGCTAAGGCTGCCTCAGGGAGCCCCAGTCCTGGGCAAGGCCACAGAGCAAGGCCAGCCCGGGGGCGGGGGGGCCTTCATGCAGACAGCACAAACACCTGGGCAGGCAGGAGCATGAGACAAAGTCCCCCCTCCCCCCAAGGGCGCATGCACAGCCTCTGGGCTCTGTTGTGTGCGCTCAACACCCCTCTTAGAATGTGAAAAACGGGTCATGGCTAAGCTTGGGTGTTTTCAGGCTGGCGTCCCCCGACTGATGGCAGCGTCCACTGGTGAAGTGTGGTCATGCAGCCTGCTCAGACTCATGCCGGGAGTTCTTGGGCTGCGCGTGGGGTCAAATGCAACCAATTGTGAGGAGATCCTGGTGCCCCCACTCCCCTGGGCTAGCTAACACCTACTGGGGTTATAAGCTTGGGCCCTGCTTCTTCCAGAAATCCTTCCCGATGCTCTGTCCACTCCTGCGTCGACCAGGCTGGGTGAGGGACCGTCCAGGGCCCCGGGGCCCCGAGTGTCCCTCTGAAAGTGAAGCAGGATCACTGTCTGGCGTGTCTGTCCCTGACGACCCGGCACAGGGCCCGGCGCAGTGAAGGGGGCTCAGGCAGTGTGAATGTCTCCACGGACAGCCCAGCACCGAGGCGCAAACTGCTGCTCTCCGAGGCTGGCCATCCCTCCCACTGCTCCCTCCTCTTCCATGGAGACTTGGACGGGTCGATGGGTGGATGACGGAAGACGGACAGATGCGTAGGATGCGCCACAGATCATGAGGGATGCT